AAACAAAAACTAGTTTTTAACCACTCTTGATAGTCAAAAATGATTTAATACCACGAACTACAAAAGTGGTTTTTTGACAGTCACTTCATTTCTAAGACTGCCATTCATTCTGGAAAAGGAATGATCACAGAGTTTGATGACTTTAGCAAAGTTTCACCAAAAAACGTGTCTTTGAGCAAAAAACCTGTTCGAATTTTCTAGTTTAGAGTTCCAAAAAATCTTGTTTAAAAGCTATTGTTATCACTACGTTTTGATGAGAGTGTAGCCAGCTCAAGGAGGGAATGAGAAATGAGAGTAATTGTGTTTTGTAGAGCTAATGCAAGTACATATTGATTGTGAAAAATTCAGACTTCCCACGCTTTTGAAGAGTGAGTTAGGGCAAGCTGAACAATGGACAGTTACTTTCTTGCCAACCTAATAGAACAAAATAAAACTTCAATATTTTTTTTGAAAAAAAAATTGACCATAAAATTTTCAGAAATTTTTTTTTTCGAAAAAATTTTAAAATTATAATTTGTTCTAATTTTCCGGTAAATCGATTAAAATCGAGTCAAAAAAGTTGAAAATTTCAAGCCGAATTTTCAACGGTTTCGAAATGTCGCGGAGCCGCAATTTTTTGAAAAAAATACCGACTCAAAAAACAGCTTAGCGCTGAGAAAAACTAAATTGTCGTAAAACACGATGCCTAGTACGCAAACACCATTCAAAATATTCAAAAAATTCAAAAAATTCGTAAAATCCAACGCCGTGTACGTACCTCATTCCTCTTATTCATCTTACAGTACTCATCGATCGCCGTCGTTAATTTCTCCACAATCTCCTCAATTTTCACCTTTTCCTCCAAGGGTTCTTCATCTGAAAAAAAAGAAAAAATCATTGATTATTTTTTTTTTCTAGAAATCCATTTCCATTTTCTCTGAGCCGAAGTATACAAAATAAAGAAAGCGTCGTTTTAAATTCGGCGAGTGCGAATGGCAGATGACATGTCGGTTGGGATTAGAGGGGGAAACGATAAGAAGTCTCTTCCGAAAGAGAGACGGGGCGCCAGGGCGCCCCCTAATCCCCTCTAGGATTGCCTCTGTGTGCCCCACCTCATCAAAAGAAGAAGAAAAAGAGCGGCGGGGACTGGTGGAGGAGGGTTACGGTAGGCACTTACCACAACTGAAAAGGAGGACGGCTCGCAGTGATTGAATTTCGACCGGATCCAGGTGGTAGTCACGGATTTTGTCGAGGGTTGTCTGGAATTACCTTTAATAGAGAGGCACTTGGTAATTTATGGCCTGAAACTTTGGACGTTGCTCAGAAATCAGTTTCAGTCAAAGAAAAAAACTTGAACATCTTTACAATCCTAAGCAAATAAATTAGCAGCAATTCTATCAGAGGTTTTTGGGAAAAAGCTAAAATTCTAGTTCAAAAAACAGGGAGAACGGCGAATCGAGCTCAAAATTAACAGAATTGTCGTAAAATCTGATGCCTAGTCCGCAAACACCGGAAACTGACACTGTCACGTCAGAATGCAGATTTTTCACGTTGATACATCACAAAAATTTAAGAAACAGCGCTTTCTAACTAGAAAAACGGAATTGTCGTAAGGTATGATGCCTAGTCCGCAAACACCGAAGAGTGACACCTTTACGTCAGATTGCAGACTTTTGGTATTCAGAGGATTACGGTAGACATTGTCGGGACCAAAAAAATCAAAAACACAATGTGAAAGAAGCTAAAAACTGAATTTTGTCGTTAGGTTTGATGCCGAGTCTGCAATCACCGTCACGTCAAATTACTGTAGCTAGATCCTGGGGTTACTGTAGCTACTCTTAGGATAACTGTAGGCTGACCTAGGATTACTGTAACTAAATCTAGGATTACTGTAGCTGGATCCTAGGGTCACTGTAGCTAGACCCAAGTGTTACTGTAACTCGATTTGGCATTTTCGGATTACTGTATTTCCAAATAAGACCAACCTGAAATCCTTGAAACGGCGGCTCATCGAGTACACTCTCCACTACACACTCCGTCTTCACTTCAATCATTTTCTCATCTTCGGATCTGGATCCAGTGGAGCAGGAGGAAGATTCTGATGAAGAAGACGACGTCGTCTTCAAATGACTCGCCAAATTGTGTGAAAAATTCGAATGTGCCAGAGCGAAGACGAAGATTGGCGTCCAGCTGTGACGGAGGAGCACCAATTGATCGCCTTTCGACAGATTGCTCATTGAGGTACGCGCCCAGTGGACGGTGGTGAAGATCGTTTGGGCGGCGAATTCGAAGATGGATTCTGAAAAAATTTGTTTATGCAGAATTTGAATTCCCGCTGGATTTTGGTTCAGTAGAGCGCGATTCCACATTTTAGACATTTTGAAATTTTCTAATTGAAATTGCCGCCAGACTTCTGTTCAGTAGAGCGCATTTTCTCAAATTTAACTTTTTTTCAACTCCGAATTCTAATTGCCCCCTGTTAAAATTACAAAGTTCAATAGAGCGTCTAATTCAATTCGCCGCAAAATTACGGTTCAGTGAAGCGCATTTTCGCAATTTTAGAATTTCCCTAATTCAAATTGCCGCCTGTTCAAAAAAAGTCTAATAGAGCGCACTTACCTTTAACCGACGGTTTCGAGGCGGCGAATTGAGCGGCCGCGGCCATCAACGGATTAAATGGCATCGGAAGGAATGGGAACGGTGGCCGCAAAAACGGATTCGGCGGGAAGAAATTGGGCATTTGAATGGGCAGACGACCTCGTTGAACTGCTGAAACTGCGGTCTGAGTCTCATTGGATCTTCTTCCTGCATCACATAGAACCACTGTTGTTTTTTGTTTTCGTTATATTGTTAATGGGAGAATGGAGAAGGGGGAGGGTGGGGTGCCATTTTGTTAGAGGTTTTTGAGGTAAAAAGGAAAAATTTTCTGTGCGCGGCGAGACCCATTGGGATCTGTTTTTTCAAAAAACTAGGTACTAATGTAAGATTTCTCGATATTTTTTTTCTGAAAGTTTACCGATTTTTAACGAATATTTTTTCAATTTTCGGAGAAAAAGGCGATCAAAAAAACAATTTTTTTCAAATCTTGTCCACGCAGACTACACGAGCAGAGTTTCCTAGGCCGCCATTTGGCGTGGTAGTTTCAAAAAAACTCGTTCTTAAATTTTTACTCGGTGTTTTTTGCTGAGTTTTCGTCCAAACTTGATTCTTTGGATTCGAAATGACGAACAAATTTTCGGAAAGCCGGAAAAAAATTTTTCTATAAATTTTTTTTGTAAAAAATCTAAAATTTTTTCTAGCCTGTTTTTTCCATCAAAATCAGGCAAAAAAACCCGCTTTAGCCAGAAAAACAGTTGTTCTACCACCTGAAACTCCGCAAAACTGAATTGTCGTAATATATAATGCCGGGTCCGCAAACACAAAAAATCAGACACCGTCACGTCAGAATGCAGACTTTACAGAATTACGGTAGACATCACCGGGACTAAAAATATTCAAACAGCTCAAAACTGAAATGTCGTAAAATATGGCGCCGAGTCCGCAAACACTGTCACGTCGGATTGCGGACAGGAGCTCGGGGATACTGTATCTTCTAAATTGAGACTTTAGGGATTACTGTAGTCGCAACAACTGAATTGTCGTAAAATTCGACGCCGAGTCCGCAAACACCAACCTCCCCCATCTCCATTCAAAAAAACCTCCATTCAAATCTCTCACCTTCTTTCCGCATTCCCATCCGGATGCATTTCGTCAATCGGCAATACTGACACTGGTTACGGTGTTGCACGTCAATCGCGCAATTCTTCGTGGCCCGACACGTGTACGACAGTGACCGACGAATCGATCTGTGAGAGGAAATAAAAAAATCAATAAAATTTTGAAATTATTTCGATTTATTTCCATCGTCGATACCCCGCGTTGAAAGGCTAAGGAATGTCTTGTGAGTTTTTTGCGCGGGCGGTGCTCTTCTATTGCAGTTAATTTCAGCTAAACTTCTCCTGCTCTTTCTTGTCTTGTGTGCCACTCAATTGCAGACTTTTGTTCATGGGTAACTTCAACTCAGAAAAAAAAACTCTAATACAAGGGCACATACTTCCAGACAAAAATCATCACATCTAACCGGTCTGGAGTCGAAGAGCCAAGGAAAACCGTACAATGGGGTGAGCGGCGGTTCAGCGAGACATATGGATGAGGTGCACGAGTACGAAAAGGAAAAAGGAGTGTGAGTTTAAATTTAGGAAGTGTCGTAAAATCTGGTGTTAGGTGTGCAAACACCGCTACGCTAAATTGCAGAATTTTGATTACAAGTTCAAAAAATGTCGTAAAATCTGGTGTTGGGTGTGCAAACACCTTCACGTCATATTGCAGAAAATTCGAAAAATGCCGTAAAATCTGGTGCTGGGTGTGCAAACACCGTCACGTCAGAATACAGATTTTGTTTTCAAAGTTCGAAAAACCGCGTTTTACATGGTGCAAACACCACGACGCTAAATCACAGATAGTCGTCAATTCTGGTGTTAGGTCCGCATTTTTTTTTCGAAATTCAAAGTGTCGTCATATACAATGCCGAGTCTGCCAACACCGCCACGTCAAATTGCAGAAATCATTGATTTTTTTTTTCAGGTTAATTCGTAACAAAAGAGCGGTGCCTGCTCCAACACCCGCCCCTGTCGGAAGCACCGTAAAACCGGTCACCCAAATGAGTGTAGCGGATAAAAATAAGATCCAAAAAAGAGTGTAAGTTTGGGGGACGGTCTTCTAATAGAAGGGCACCAGGCGCTCTCCCCCTGCTATTGTCTAGGCCCTCTACCTGTCAGGCGAGCCATGCTCCTGCGGCCTTGCGGTTAGCGCTGCCGTTCTGTAAACTGGCATCGCGGGTTCAATCCCCCTCTGGGTCAATTCTTTCTTTTCTTTTTTCTAGAACCTTTTTTTTCAATAGAAAAGCTGCCCTGCCTGCTAGGCGACACAAGGCGCCCCTTCTCCTGCTATTGTCTACACCCTCTACTAGTCAGGCGCCAGCTGCCACCGTGGTCTAGTGGTTAGCACTGCCGTTTTGCAAACTGGCATCGCGGGTTCAATCCCGCTCGGGGCGAATTCTTTTTTCTTTTTTCCTAAGCCACCTATACCCTCCACCACTTTCAGAAACGGATTCGTGATGGTATTCGGCGGTCTAACCAGCGCCCTTTGCATCCTCTGCTTCGTCAACATTGGACTCTTCGTTTGGCTCTCAATTGTGCTCAAGAAGCTCAAAAAACCCTAAACACTTTCTCTCTCTCTCCGATTACCTTTTGAAAAAACTCTTGCATCCCTCACAACTGAATTGTCCATAGTGTTTTCCGCTTGACTTGTCACCACACACCACACAATCCGTCGCATCGGGGGAGGTATCCGGGAGGCCGCTGGAGGCGGAGTCGATCTGGAAGTATTGGGGTTACTGTAGATGCACATTGGGTTACTGTAGATGGTAATAGACACAAATTTTTTCGAGATTTCTCGAATTCCCTTCACTGTGGATTGCTGTATATGCTGATTTGGGGTACGGTAGACGATAATTTTAAGAATAGAAAATTCTAAAAATCGGCTCCCCGACATTTTTTCGGTTTGAAAATTTTCAAATTTCTAGACTCGATTTCAATCCGGAAAATTTGAAAAAAAAATTTTGAAAAAAAGTCGAAGTTTTATTTTGTTTTAATTTTTCAGAATATCGATTAAAATCGAGTCGAAAATTTGAAATTTCGAGCCTAATTTTCACCGGTTTTGAGGTGTCTAGTTTCGAAATTTCGCGGAGCCATGGAGTCACATTGTGCATGATCGCTCAGGATTTCTGATTTTCTGATTTTTTCAAACCCTCAGCCTGGGGGCCCTCTTGTCCTCCCGGACTACACGGTGCATCGGCCAGTTTTTTTCTCGAATTTCCCTTACTGTAGATTACTGTATACGCTGGTCTGGGGTACGGTGGATGATAATTTTCAAGATTGAGAGTCCTAAAAATTGGGGATGCTCTACAGGGCTACACTACATGGTGCATCGACAGAGCTTCCAGATTTTTTTCAAGTTCCAGGAATTCCAAAAAATTGGAGGCCATTTCTCTTCAAGACCCTCCCCCCTAGCATGGGTGCCCTCCGGAGTTGTCCTCTCGGAATACTGTAGTAGCTCTATTCAAAATCCGAGTAGCGTCACCACAAATCACTTCTCTTACCACATATAATTACAAAATGTCGCGGCGGCACCCTTCCCAAAAATGACAGGTTGCCTTCTTTTTGATAGACAGGTTCTCGGGGCCCCCTGCTTTTGGGCCCCCTGCTGTGAGAGGACAATCCCTTCATCGCCCCGCCGCCGCGTCGCTCCTTGAGAAAGGAGGGAGCCCCTGGGTTGGCTGGCACTCATCATTTTATGATCATTATCTCGTCGTCATCATCGAATTATTATTCGAAACGGGGGAGAGGGGTGTAGTCCTCGTGTCCCTTCGACACACCGGGAGGGGAAAAACGACGAGGTTCGTCGGAATGATTTATAGTTTTTTTGCGGCGACGGCGGCGACGACGACGGCGGTGACGATGGTGGTGGCGAGAAAGTGCGACGAGAGTAATAAAGTTTTTTTTGTTGGTTGGAGCAGGAGAGCACAGTGGGAATTCGGGAATTAGAATATATGCGGAGGGGGAAATGGGATCGGAAGAGGATTACGTGGTGGCAAAGTTCAAAGGGACGAGGCTTGCAAATTTCGAAGAAATCGGATTATTGGCCCTAGAATTTGGTGCCCTGGAATTCAAAAAAAGAGTGAGGGAAATTCAAAATTTTGAAATTTAGGATTACGGTACCTCTCAAAAAAGTAGTTCCGAGAATTTCAATTTCGGACTACGGTAATTTTATCAGGGCTTCCCGGAGCTGAAGAAAATGGTGTGAAACCAGCCCATTCTCGACTAGAAACTGAACAGTCGTGAAATATGATGCCGAGTCTACAAACACCGTCACGTCAGATTACAGAAATTCTATCTACAGTAACCAGAATTACGATGTTCCTGTAATTCGGTTCTCGGTACTCAAGAGGTACGGTACCGATGACCTCCTGGTCCTCAAATAGGAGTTCATCGCTTCAAAACAAAATGATCGAGGAATGAAGCAATTAACACTACCGTAATCCCAAAATTTTGTAGATTACTGTAGAAAAAAATGCAACAAAAAATGGAGAAAATCAGGTATAGAACGACCGAGATTTAAGGGAATTTCAGACTATTTTGGGTCTAAATTTCCAGGATTTTTCAGTTTTTTTTTCAGCAAAAAATTGGGAAAAACTGAAAAATAAAACATATAATTTTGACCTCTCCTGATTTCCAAATTCCAATATTTTCCAACAATTCCGATTTCCCTTACTATTACAGACCCCCGAAAATTGAGACCACGGGACTACGGTAGCTCCCAAACACCCCTTACATTTTTCGAAGTTTTCCATTATTTTCAGTGAGCTATAATTACTGAAACTTTCTGGAAATTCCAGAAATCTCCTTCTCCACCACCTCCTCTCGAAATAGCCCAGTTAGTCTAAAAATAATCTCATATGACTAATTTTTAGTAAATACCTATTAGGACCCACTCCATAATTATTGAAACGGAGGCAATAGAAGTTTCCAGAAGGTTGAAATGTTTGCAAAACTCAAGGCTGACATTTTCGGAAATTTTAATCTCGATTACGTAGGATCAAGGTTGGCCTTAATTTCGCAAGAGATGGAATAATTACTGGAGAAAAAAGAGAAGTCCAAGGTAAAGGTGAATGGATAACGAGTTCAATTGGTGTCGATTTGAGTTTTGTGCTCCAGAATCATTGGGCTCAACCGAGCAAATTCACGAAAACTAGGTGACCTAGCTTGTGGGAAATCTTGGTTTTCAGAATATTTGTAGGTTTCGTGCTCCCGGAGCATAGAAAGTCATAGGTTCGATTTAGACTCGAAAAAATGAGTTTGGAAAAAAATCTGATTTCGAAATGGGTCGTAACTCGGTCCGACAGAGCCAAAAAGTTGGTTTCAAAAATCCCAGGATGAAACTCAAAACGGTGTGAAATTAGGTCCAAAATAGCATAAAATAGAGACCAAAAGAGTCTAAAATTGGACCCAAAATAGTCTAATCCTTATCCACCAAGAAAGCCCAGACTCGGGCCGAAAGCCCCTAGGATTGGTACAAAAAGGCCTGCTATTAAGCCCGGAAAAGCGTGAAACAAGGTATAGCTCGGGGTCAAAATTGGTCTAGCTGGGGGCTTAAATAGGTCGAAATGGCCCTAAACTGAAATGGAACGTAGGGCCTAAAAAAATCGGGCCTAAAAAAAGGGTTGAACACAAAAGGGCGCAAAACTGGGTCTAAGAAGACTTCAGGTCGAATCAAAATCGATGAAAAACAGCCTAAATTGGCATACCTAGGACTTCGCCTTCCTAATACGAATCTTGAACCGGGTTGACCTCCCAGAAGCACTATTCATCTAGATTCTGGCTCTCTGAATACCTAGAATCTCCATCCTATCTCCGAATCTTACCTAGTCGCCCACCTACCCCCAAAAACCCACCTCCTTCTTCATACTAGCCGCCAGAATCTGTTGCCATCCGCTGGCGTCAATCGGCGTTCGAAACTGAAAATTGACGGAAGCGGCGGCGGCAGCAGCCGCCAGCCACGGTAAATTCGGAATCGGAAGCATCAAGAACAGCCGGAAGGAAAGCGGATGTTGCGAATCTTCCGATGCTCCTCGAGAAAGACGAATTGTGCCCGTGAGAGGGCTCTCGGAGGGGTTGGGCCCAGATGGGTTCACCAGATACAGACGTCTGGTGTGCCCTCCAATTGGAGAAGGGGCGGAGACTACGGTAGTCGGGAGAGCAGATGCTCTTCCTCTCTTTTCTCGGCTCGTAAAAATGTGAGAAGCCGACACCCGGCTCCTGGGGTGGTGGGGTCTGCTGTCAGGAGGGCTCCCTTGTTTCGAGAGAGATGGTTACTCGGAGATAACCAATACGCATTTATCATATTGGGGTGGGACGTTAAACGGATCACCCCTTCTTCCACTTTAACTACTCGATTAGCACCCATTTAGTAGGTTCTTGAGTATATGGGGCTTTTTGGAGTTTTTGTGAAGGGGAGCGAAGGAGAAAAGTCTCCGAGGAGCTGTTTGGAATGGAAATAAAATTGTATGAGTATATATGAGGGAGTTCGAAAGGAGTTTATGGGTTTTCAGCGGGTTCGGGTTCGGAGACGATTGACACGACTGGGAGTTCGACGGAGGAGGAGGGCGTACTTTTGAAGAAATTGAAATCAGGGGAGCCCGGGAATTCTGGGATTCTCAAAATTTTTGAGACTAACAATTTTGAAAACAACAAAATCTAATTGAGCAAAGCTTTTATTTTCCTCGAAGCTGGCTGGGCAGGGGACCGAATTTCATCAATTTTTGTTGAAAAAATGAAAGAAAATCCCAGAACTTTGACCCAAAAAATGATTCTCTTGGCCCCAGAAGTTTCCAAAAAAATTTTCCATGAAGTTGACTACTACACCGGGTCGTTTCATACCCGACTTCCCATTTTTTTGTCAAATTTTCTAATTCATTTTCTAGTGCAAATCTTGTTGCCCAATCTACAGTAATCTACACAAAAATCATGGGATTACGGTAGTATCAGCTATGGTGTTTGCAGACTCAGCATCAAATCTCACGACAATTCAAAGTCCCATTATGGAAATCAGTGTAAAAGCAAGTGCTGGCCGAAGATCCGACAACTTGACGGCCCCGATATCTTACCACGAAAGCTACCGTATAAATTCAATTGCTATCGTAAGATTTATCGAAATTCAGCGATTTTTCTAGCTCTTCCTCAGAAAAATAAATATTCTTTGAAAACCGATTAAAATTGATGAAACTCGACACGGTAAATTTTTTTGTACGTGTTTTTAAAAAGTTTCATTCGCGGGCTCTGTCTTATTGTAGAGCCGCATGCCAAAAAGCTTCCGCTGCGCCGCGACTCTGGCGATACGCAGTCATTTACCTTAATTTGTCGGAAAATTAAAAAATTAGGGCCTAAACAGTTTTTTTATTAAATTACATAGAACTTTTTCTCCGCATCATGTTGA